AAGAGAGTATAGGATTATATCGTTCGAACGTTCTATTGACCGAATGATATTGGAGAAAGACAGTGGCGTACAGTGATATAAAATTACAGGTAATTTATAAATCAAAGAAAAAAATTATTAAATAATATAATAAAAAAAATTACAAAAAAAAAGACAATAATGTTTTTTAAGCTATTCAAAGCCAGAGTGACCTATGCGATAGTATACGGATATCTTTTCTCTCTTTTGTTAATTGTCAAAAATCTATATATTACTTCTTCAGCAGCCTCTACCATTCTTTGTTTCTCCATTTAATAAATTATATAATTATGGGCAATAGAAGTAAGTTTTCCGGGTCTATTCCCGGAGATCCATTTTCCATAGTAAGTTTGTTTCTTGTTGGTCGATGGACAAATCCATAAGTACTAAAGGTTCTTTCGGTTACAGTTAAATTTTTAGCCAACATACTTATATCTAAGACATACTTATATCTAATAGCCAACATACTTATATCTAAGAGCTGGAGAAAATTCCTACCCACCAGACAGGCCCAGACATAGATTTTTCGCTGGAAAGAACGAATAATAATTTTGTATTGTGCCAGTCAGTGCTTCCATAGTGAGATCTACTTCTGAAAAATACTTTGGATGATGCCTTGCTGTTTCGTAGATGAACTTCGTTAAAATTTTCAGTTTCAGTTAAATTTTCGCCGCGTAGATTTGTTTTGTAATAGGTAGGCAGAAAGAAAAGCAGGTCTTGAACATTTACTTGCCGGTTTTTCCAGAATTACACACATTTTCTTGTTTTGCAACATATTGGTGGATGAATCTGATACTTTACTACATAATATAGACCTTATTTCTCAAAAAATCAGGTAAAAACTTTTGAGATTTTTGACCCGTTAACGTCAAAAATCCTTATCCACTTCGAGATTGTTTTAAACAAGTCATAAGTTGCTTGTATTCGTATCCAAAATTTGTTTCGTAAGTCTCTAGTTGCAAGGAATCTTAATGTTATGGCCAATCTTTATTTAAATATTTCTTTAACCGGAATACGCTTCCTAAAAGTTGTATTTTTTCTTTCTATACGGGGGCCAATTAAGTCAATAAGTCTTTCAAAATCAGTAGCGGACATGCGATAAAAAATATTAAAAAACATTCTGCCCGTTTTGTAAATCGCGTAGATGTTTACTTTCACTGATCTACTTTTGAAATTATTAGACATCCAATACCGCCTTTTTTCTGTTTGTCTTCTTCGTTTTGCAATAATGATCGCACTAGCAGCCGCTATTAAAAATACTTCGGTATCATCCATGTCCGAACAGCACGAACGCCAGCGCTACATTAAGCCGCGTCCAAGCTACTCGAACAAAACGTTCGGGAACATATATAATTAGCACTATATACTCGTAGCAGCAGGTCGTAAACGACGGCACAGCCCATCGCATCGGTCCCGAGGACCGAGGTGCGGGGAAGAATGCGACAACCAGTTTGCTCTATAGATCTATAGATGCGTTTAGGTAGTCGCTGTTTTTTCGAGTGCCCGCATTTCGAGTGCAAGCATTTTATTAAATAAATTAACCGGTAAACAGTTTAAGAACTTTTGTCGTTGAAGAATCAATATTTAGCAGGCGGAGGGTTACAGGGGTCTTTTGGTAGATTATTCGTTATAGTGTATTTTTAAGATCTGTATTCATTTTCAGCCGATTCTACAAGGTGTTTCTCAAAAGGGGCTCACTTTTTTACTTTTTTATTTTTTCATATAATACAACGAAATTTGGTTTGTTAGTATATGACATAAATCGGGATTGATTGACGTATTCAATTAGCTTCGGTCGCTTCCTGTTTCACCGGAAATGACTACAACTTTGTATTTTTAGATTGTATCCTAAGTACTTTTTTACTTTATTTGATAGAAAATGACATTCTGAATAGAATGACATACCATACGTCAATTTTAGACAATTCCAATTAAATAAAAATAGCATTTTAAATCTAGAGTGCCAAGACTGAGTTAAAACTATTAATTTGTAATCAAAGAACTTTGGAAACATATATTTGATCGTATAATTTTTTTTCGTATCCTTTCATGACCGCTTAAAAGGTGCCCAAATCGTATTTTTAATGATAACTCAAATTTTTCAAATGGTACTAGGCTGGCTCAGCATATTTGGAAAAAGCATTTTTTACGTATAATTTGGTACCACATACTTGGTATTTGGAGTAAAATTGTCGTTACGTTTATTTATGGCCATTTTTAAATTGAAAATGTCAAAAGTTGACATATAATATATCATTCTATTTAGAATGTCATTTTCTATCATATACGGTAAAAAATACCGAGGGTACCATTTAAATCAAAAGTTGTTGTCGATCAATCCTGATTTATGTTCTATACTAACATACCAAATCTCGTTTTTTATCTAAAAAATTAAAAAAGTTATAGAAGTGAAACAGAAACACCCGGTATATTTATTTCTAAAAATGTAATGGTAAAATTTCATTTCCGGTGTCAAACTTCCTATTAAGTAGTAATTTTTAATTTCAAAATCCCATAATAATTCCGGTTTTAAATAAAAATAATCATAAAGGTCTTTATTAACAAAAATGAAATTATATGGACGAAGTCTAGCTACATAGCTATTCACACTCAACCCACAATAAAATTAAATTATAAATTCTTTTCTTTGTGTAAACAAATTAGTTGTAAATGTTTTTCACGATCCCAGTCAATAACTGCGTCCCCCATTGTCGAATACTCGGTAAAAAATAAAAATCACAGATGGACGCCCGAAATTAAATGAGACCCTTCCAAGTGTCCGGTACAATGTCCGCCGTTCGCTCCTTTTGATTTACCGACACCCGTCGGAAAAAGAACGCGCGCGCTCTAGCATAGGCAGACGCACGCCCTACCTGGCGTAATAGGCCTAGGCTAGCTGTACATGTTGGCTTTATTATTTATAAATCTACCTATCTCACAATTTTCACTTAGTATCTGTTTAATTATATATGTTCGCGAACATTTTGTTCGAGTAGCTTGGACGCGGCTTTACAATGCCGTTGCTTGCGAGCCGAAAGATCTAGAGAAACACGACAAACAGGAAGCGCAAGCAACGCAAGCACAATCAAAAGCGCGAGCAGGATCACGAGCAATGTGGACGCACCTTAAAGATTAAACCTCTATAACTCTAAGAAATAAAAAAATATAATGGAAGCTGTTCTAAAATTTAAAATAAATTTAAAACGCAATTTCAAGAAATAAAAGTAAAAACAAAACAAACATAATGTAGTTATAAAAAAAGGAACACAGGTAAAAGAAAAATAAAACCCACCATCCCCTCGAATAGACGATTGAGATTGCAGACACCACTTGACTTTGGAGGCAAAACGTACGATTTCCATAACAAAGGCCCTCGACTAGTAGTCTGGCTAAGGACCGCCGACCTCAACGACATAATCCAGGCATTACACCTCTCTCAGGCAAAGCTAAACATCGGGATCGCACGGCATCAAGCTGGCAGGCGCCATTTTAAAGATCTTAAATAAACGATAAGACCGATCCGCTTTGAGACGTGATTTCCACCCATCAGGAATCTCGTTTCAGCTTAAACGATGCCGTTTTTCCAAAATGGAGGTGTTTTCTGTTTATAGTAGCGCTCTCTGGGTGATGATACGGTAAAGAACTAGACGATTTTTACGTTAAAAATGGGATTATTATTTTTATTTTATTATTAATGTCATAATTTTTCGAGGTTTGTTGAAATTATATGTAGCCTCCAAATAATCTTATTATAACCACAAACATAATTCGAAACACACGTGCTCTGATTAAGGCTTGATTAAAGTTTGCAGAGCTTCAGCATTTGCCATAAAATAGCGAGCAATTTGTTGCAAAACCATATAAATTATATATCACTGTATTCACAAAACTTCAATCTATCTCCATATTGAAAGGGAATTTTAAATTATGTCTTTATTTTCGAGAAAATTTAGTCCAAACATAAGGAATATTTTGTTGATGTTTCACCTTCAAAATCTTAAAAATAAAGAAGCTGTAAACGAAAACGTTATAACGAACTTATTTTCCCAGTTTTACACAAATTCCTACATTAAAAGCAAAAATTTCATTTATAAAACATAAATCATACAAAAGTAACTCAAACTTCAGCAAAGTCGCGCATCATACAGATTTATAATAAGCCCTAAACTAAAATAAAACAATATTACTAGCTGTAAATGCTTCCTATACTCAGACCCAACTTCTATCTGCCGCGTAAAAGAGGTGTTTGCCCGTAAGAACCGCAGAATTAATTGCTCATTCTGCGTCCAACTTTCCCGCCACGGGATCGGGGACCTTTGCGGCTCTGTTTGTGGTTCAAAGCCGCACAAAGTTCAAATCCCCGCTATATTTGTTCCGAATTTATTTGACATCGCGCAAAGTTTTCAGCCTTTGCGGATGCTTGAAACGGACAAAGTCTGTGTTTGATTTGAGTCTGAAACGCTCTCTGACAATATAAAAGCGAAAAGGCTCATTGAATCGGTCTTTTTTTCGTGCAAAACAGCTAAATTTTTTTTTATAAAATGCCCATCTCTAATACAAAACATGTGGTGTCATCTATGAAGTGAGTATTATACCACTAATTTACAAAGCTTTACAAGTTATTAGAAGCCTAATTGTAGCAGAATTAAACAGAAATAATTCTATATTGATTAAATTCGTATATAATATAATAAAAATACGTATTTATTAGTTATTTGTATTAGAAAGCTAAAAATATTTTCAAAATATCATTTTTCTGTATGTCGCCATCTATCCAGGACTGCCAAAACTTCGGTATATTATTGAATTAATTTTTATGGTTATTCTGTAATATTCCAATTAATTAATGAATAGTTAAATAGATTTTTATTGCATTTTAAATAAAATCAATGATTTTTATTAATTTTTTCCTTCAAACTACTGAATTTTTCAAATTTATTGAAAATATATACCCATAATACAGATTTCTTTACTTCATCGTTTTTGCCGGCGTCTGTCAAGAAATCTTGTTACATTTTAACGACTTTTCCTGTTTTTATTTGAAATTCCGGCAAAGGAAATTAAACACACTTTTTTACTAGGAAAATTGCTTAATTGGAGGCCTTGTAATTAATGTTTTTCGACAAAAACATGGAAGATTCTTTCACAGAAAGGCTTTTGCAAAGTTTGAAACGTGCAAACGAAGGAATCCTGAAAGCCAGGTAAGGTGCTTTGAGAAATCATAAGTGTCATTTGGTCAATGCCCTTATTACTTTTTCAAGAAAAACGCAGTTTTTGCGGTTTTATACTCACTAAACTCGTTATTTAAAGAAGAAATAATTGTTTAGAGGGACTGGAGTTTGTTTCTTTTTCTTTGAAAATATATAGGTTAATTCTTTTGATTGGATCTGGAGGTGAAGCATTTAGGCTGTAGCTTGTGCAAATATGTATATTTACTATTCATATTGCACCTGTCCCGGCCTGATTGCCATCCTTACCATCATCTTCCACCATATTTCTCGCTATATCACGTTCATTGTATATTACCTTATACATTCATATCAATACCAACAACTTGATTTTTAGTGAACAAACTATACTTTCCTCCAAAATGAAAGACCTGCCTAATTCTGTTAAATCAGAATGGCTTGACGAAGAGAAACTCCTTAAAGAATTCAGGGAAGCAGTTCAGGAATTGAAAATTGATGAAAAACATGATGCTTTGAAGAAGATCAGGTGTGATAATATAAAATTTATATGTTTCTTTCATTAACGTAAGAAAATTTCATTTTAGAAATGTTAAAGACATATGTGTTAAGAGAAAATCACATCTGGAAACAAAGTATGAAAAAATTGATAACAAAGTAGCCGTTTTACAATCGGAAATACCAGAAAGCTTAGAACAATTGGAAAGTAATTTATCAGCCCATGATTTCAACGAAGAAATTGAAATCTTAACGTGAATTATTGTAATTTAATTTATAAAAGTATTTTTAATAAAATAATTGACAGCATTAACATGAATTAATCTAATTTATAAGTATTTTTTAATAAAACTCTCGATCTTGATCTCATTTTCTTCTATATTTTCTTCAATTAAGTGTTTTATTTGTATTAACGTTTCTTCCTTTTCGCTTAGATCTTCTTTTAATACATTTTCTTTTGTTTCAGCTTGTAAATCGCTTTGGACTTGGCTTAAAAGTGTTTCGTTTTGATGATGGTAAACAGGATATAAAAATTTCAATTCTTCAAGCTCCTGACTGGCATTATTATCTCTTTCACTGAGTTCCTGTGTAAAGAAAATATTAATTTTATGATATAACTTGAAGAAAAATGGCTTTAAACTTTAAGAAAATCATTGTTCTTCCTTATGGATCTCTCTGTTACGGATTTTTTCAGTTCTAAAGCCATCAGTGCCTGTTTATGCTCTTTTATTTGGTGTTGTAAGCATTCCAACTTTTCTGAATCTAAAAAAAGGTAGGTGAATTATTAACTTGGGTATACCTAGGTATTTAGTTTACAAATTTGCAACATTGATTCCCAGATAGGTAAAACTTTCTCTGCTGTCTCTAAATCGAGAGTTTTTGTGTCGATATTAACAATATCTTCCAACATTTTCAAATTAGTTTTTGATTTCAAAAATTCAACTGTCTAAATAGACAAGAGGTAAAAGTCATATACTTTAAAAGAAAAGTATATGATAGAATCCTATCTCTCCTGTACTTTGTAATTTAAGGCCCATATTACAGAAAGAAGAGAAAGTTAACCTAACCCTAGAAACGGTTGTCAAAAATTGTCACTTTTTGCTGTATTTTAACAATTTTTTATTATTTTACTGAAAATTATCGTGCTTTTTACTATGATCTGCTATGATCCATTTTAAAGGAACACTCAGTGAGGCCGACAGAGCTGTGCAACCGATGAAAAAACGAAAGAAAGTTATGCAGAACTGGAAAATCTGTTAGAAATAAATTAAAGAAGGTATGAGTTGGAGAAAGACATCCCTGCTCATTTTGATGCACTCGAAGATCTTAAGGTACTTATTGTCTTTGTTTTTTTGTATCATTTGAGTGCTTTACCTTTAAGTTGATTCTTGAACATGAGAATCAAAAGAATCATCTACAGTCAAAAGCTGAGAAAAATTAAAAAAAGCAGTTTTTTACATCAAATTTTACAAAGTTAGACAATAAAGACTAGTTGTATATTTTAGATTCTTTTTTGGGCTTTGTCAAGCAGGTTGCATTAAAATGAGTAGAAAGATGATGATATACGTGAGAATCATGTTGAAATGAAACATTGGAATCATAGAGGCAAGGACAAGATTATTTAGGTAAAATAAATACACCTATTTAGTATATTCTTTAATTAATTTAAATATTATGCGGCCAATATGCATTATGTTTATTTTATACCCCAAATAATAATTTTTATACGTAGATATATTCTTCCATTCAAAATTGTTTTATGTCAGCTTATCTTTGATTTTCGTATAGCTGTATAACAGTTTAGATAAAGACTCAGAAGTATTTCCATTCAGAATTTTATCAATAATCTAAAAAAGGAAATCAACAAGTTAGGTAAGTGATAGATGATTTATTTGATTTGTTTTTCTCTGTAATGTTACTTACACTCTGTATATAACTGTCAGTTTCATCAGCTGTGTCTCTCCAAACAACTCTGACTGCATCTGGCATTAATAATTCAAACACCCTGTTTAACAATGGGTCTAGTTCTTCATCGCCATCCATAAAATTTTCATAGTTGTTCTAAAAATGTCGAAAATATACAAGGGGGTCCATTTTGTTATAGAAGAAAAAAACTAATTCTAGAGAAATAAAAAAAATACTACTCTATGTTAACTTATTTCTCGGATGTTTTTTTGACATAGTACCTCTGCTTCTACTAAGTAAACGTTTACTGATACAGGGACGCACAGAGAAGTTGAATTTATTTCTAAGCTACTTATGGCTGCTACAGAGAATTTGGTGAAGTTTACACTAAAAATAAAATCATGAAGGCATTAAAATTATTCTTAAATGCTTAAATAGTTACTGGAAAGAGCCATTGCCATAAAGATTGAATAATTTTTCTCCAATATAACCATCAAAGGCGTATGTTCCGTTGATGTACAAGCTATCAAGGGTCATATTGAATATTTCTAGACCTTCTGGTTTGAAGGTCCATAATTTTAGGGAAGGTTCGGTCCAAACTAGGGTTCCATTGTTAAAATCACCTATAATTCTAAAAACATAATAATAAGAAACTAGTAATGTAAAATTTCCAGAAATATATTTTCGGAAATATTTCCTGAAACATTCGAAATATATGGAAATATTGGAAATATATGAAATATTTTAAAAAATAAGAAGAACTGAAATATTTATTTATAAAAATCATAACAAAACATCGCAAAACACAAAATAGTTATACATAAACACAAATAGAGTTATTCTTCAAATTAAAAAATAAATTAAGTTTATTTGACGTAATTGTCCACAAGTACCGTATGATCGAAAAAAAACGGCGTTCAATTGGCTGGGAAATGACGATCAATGACATTTCCCATATTTATTTACATATAAAATGACAGCGATCTTCATTTCAGAGCCATCGTTGACGCCGTTTTTTCTCGATCATACGGTACTAGTTAACGCTTTTCTTCACTTAGGCGCGTCAAAAAGAAATCTAACAATTAACCTGTTTGTTTCACTTATTTTTAATGGCTAAGCCGCAAGGGGAATCCCCTCGTGTCGATCCCGCAGATCCCCGCAAGTTTGATCCCCTCGTGTCGATCCCGCAGATCCCCGCAAGTTTGATCCCGCGGAATCACAGAGGGATCCCGCATTTGCGGGATTGCATTCCCTAATCATGATCATATTATTTTTTCATGTCTCAGACTTCTAGAAATTAGAAAAGAAAATCATCATTAATTAATTTTGAATTTTACTATAAAATTGAAAAAACATTTTTTTTTTGAAAATCTCGAAAACCGTTTGAATTAGAGAGCTAAAAATGTAGATGAATTATTTTGATTCAACACCAAATCCCTTGAGTGCGAGTCAAAAAAGCCGCGGGAGCAGATTTCCTATATTAATCCGGCTATACTCTTTCAACTATAAAATTGATCAAATTCGGTTAAATTGATGTTACTTACGTTAAGGCTGGATGAGTTAAATTGAGATGAAAGGAATCGAAATGTTGTGAAGGATTTTCTACAAAAAGTTTGTTAAATTCACTCTTAATTCCAGTTTTCACATCATCCAGTAAGTCTGAAATTTCATCTAAAACACAATTTTTTTTAAAGAATACACTATCTGTATCTGAAGTCAATTCTGAACTGTATTGAACAAAAACAAAACAGCTATAGATAGTCAAATAAGTTGATAAAATTAAATAATTTTCACAGGCTTTAGTTTGAGTTTTAACTGTTTTAAGTAAAAATTTTAAAAGTTACTTATTAATACTAAATGCAGGCAACTATACATTTTGTATAGAATGTATAGAATGTTTGGCCATCGTTCAAAGTCACGTCATATATTGTCGAACTCTCTCAATCACTTGCCAGCCAGATGAAAAAGATTGGTGAAGCCATTACGGCATTTCGTAAATTACTGCATATTCGATTGTTGCTGTGAAACAAAATTCAAATTTTTTATTGCAAAAAATTCCTCAAAGATTTAACCAAAATGAACAAGAGCTCATTGCTAAACTTATAAATTATTTTTCTCGAGAAAGAGACGTGCAGCGGTTCCCAGATAGGGTCATTACTTAGAAATATTAATTTCAAAATGTTTGCATGAAACTGTTGTTAATTCTTTTCTTATATTCCTCTGTAAACGATACATAATAAATAACAACATCAAGTAAGCCTAGTGTAGCGCTTTTTTTTATTATAAATCTTACATTTTTGCTACTGGTATCAAAATGACTTAAACAGTTTTCAGATAACGCCAATTAATTACTTATTTTATTAAAATTGATAAAAGCTGTTGCCTTTTCTGTAATGGACGTACGAAAAGAAGATAAAAAGAACTGTTTTTTTCTTTTTCGCACTTAATTAAACCTAAGTAATATTAGTTTATGGCAATTTATTTCAAGGCAACAAAAATAGTATATAAATAGAATTTCAGCAACAGTCCAAAGGATTGGAGTTTAAGGGATCGTAACTGATATAGAGTTAAAGAAAAAATAAATCAATGCAAATTTTCTAAACCATATGAACTGATCTCAGACACACCCTAAAATTCGTATTTGACAAATAACGATGACGTAACGATGAACGATGGTTGAACAGTCTTTACCTTAAATAGTCAATTAAATTAACATTAATAATGTATAACGATGTTTTAAAAATCATGAAATTTTGATTTTCCAATTAATTATTTAATAACTACTTGGTTACTTTTGAACCGCCATAACTTTCATAAGTTTAGGTTGATTAACCAGTTAGCAACCCATCAGAGCAATCTCTTTGCTTTCAATTTTCTCGAAAACCATCGCTCTGGGCGATGTGCAACAAGAGTGCCTTTTTTGTAGGTAAAAGAATGTAGTTTACAAAAAATGAACCCACGTTGCAAAAAAAAATAACCACAAAAAAGTTATTCACGAAAAAAAACCCTACCCTTGCAAGAACTACCCTTTCCGCTTTTCCAAATAAATTTTTCTGTATCACCATTTGATTTAGGGTCAAAATTTATGACAGAGCATTTTTTTTGACTACAATTTCAAAACAACCGTTTTTTAAATTCACCCTTTCACTGCCCCTAACTCCCTCAATATGCATTTTCCGTCCTATACTTATAGGAACTTTTTTTACTATTTTTAAGAGTACTATCACACCCAGATTTTTTTTTACACCATTTCAATGACACCCTGTATTTTTTAAATTATTGTGCTGTTATCGGTTTTTGATCAGTGTGCAACGTTTTAATCTAATTTTAAATTTTACGCCCCAAAGTGGGTAAAAACATACTTGATTGACTATGTATCCCGTAATAAAAGAGCGTAAAAAGTGTTATTAATTTATAAAATAGACAGAAATGTGGCTGAATTATACTAACCTTCGTTTTCTGATAATGTTTTATCACTCAATTTCAGACAAATATCGATAGCACACTCAGCTAGTGTGAATAAATATGTAGCTAACAAAATATATTTAATACTACTTGAGATCCTAGAAATTAATATGTAGTGTATAAATAATTATGTAGTGTAAATAAAAATATTATTAATACTTTTTATACTCACATTTTGTGATGAATATAACTAACACTACTAAACAACTAATAAGTAACGCATAAGTAGTGATAAATGAATAATTATTTATTGAATAATCAAGTATTTCAAGTATTGATTTGTTTTAGATTGGAGTTGATATTGTTTTCTAATCGTGCTTTTTTTCTAATAATTTTTACCATTATATTTAGTGACAAGGTACTATACAGGGTGTTTCAAAACAAATGCGAAAAACTTTAGGGGGTGATTCCTTGTTCAAAATAAAGGGTAGTTTGCTTTATAAACGTTGGGTCAAAAGTCAACCATTAGGGAGATATCGCGGTACAAAGATGGCGGAAAAATAATGTTTTTATTTTTATCTTGAAAACGAAAAGAGATAGACTAATGAAATTTTATGGAAGCATTACTGTTATGAAAACACACTTTCAGGTAGCTTTTTTACTTTTTTAAAATGAGTGGAAGGGGTTGAAATAAACTACCCCTATCATTCTTGTTAAAGAAATTTAAAGAAAAATCTTATCAAACACATGCAAATGCTTTAATTTGGATAGTTTAATTTGTTTAGAAACTTTTTTACCTCTTGTGTTTTTTTTTTGATAAAACTCACCGATTGGAAATTAAAAAATAAAATGTAAAGCATTACATGTCAAGACAAAAAACATTTTTAGATTAAGAATCTAGTGATAATAACGATAATAATAATCTTCTAGATAATAACGTATTGCAGTAGAGTAATGTCAAATAAAATAATATTAGGAACATCCTAAAAGTAACAGCGGCCGACTAGATTTTTTCCTAAAAAAATTACAGCAGCCCACTAGATTCTTTATCAGAAAATGTTTTTTGTCCTGACATGTAATGCTTTACATTTTATTTTTTAATTTCAAATCGGTGAGTTTTATCAAAAAAATACAAGAGATAAAAAAGTTTCTAAACAAACTAAACTATCCAAATTAATTTTTTTGTGTTTGATAAGATTTTTCTTTAAATTTCGTTAACAAGAATGATAGGGGTAGTTTATTTCAACCCCTTCCACTCATTTTAAAAAAGTGAAAAAATTACCAGAAAATGTGTTTTCATAACAGTAATGCTTCCATAAAATTTTATTAGTCTATCTCTTTTCGTTTTCAAGATAAAAAATAAAAACATTGTTTTTCCGCCATCTTTGTACCGCAATATCTCCCTAATGGTTGACTTTTGACCCAACGTTTATGAAGCAAACTACCCTTTATTTTGAACAAGGAATCACCCCCTGAAGTTTTTCGCATTTGTTTTGAAACACCCTGTATAATAATAAAAAAAATTAAGATATATTGAATTGAATTTTTATTTCGTATATTCGAATAATATTTTGAAATATTTTCTATACCACTCTGTATATATATATGTTTGTTTAGCATTTTTTTAAAGGTGTTACAGTTAGGGATATACGATAATAAGTATACTAAGTGAATGCGTAAACATATATAATTTCTTCAACAAATTAGAGTAAGAACATATATATACACCTGTTGTTTGTAGTATTACTGTTATTTTAGTATACTTTACGTTCATTTTGAATACACCTCCATTAAATGAGGGTTTTACTTATATATTTTTTCATCTTCGCCTTTAGTTGGGTTAGTGATGCCCAAAATTTCACAGTTTTGAAGAGAAAAAACGTATTTTTATCTCGGAAAAGACGGTATTTACAGTGGCCTAAAGGTAGCAATTTTGTGGTAAGTTCTCTGCCCCAAAATATACCAATTAAAGATATCAAAAAATATATTCTTTAAGATTAATTTTACATGTTCAAAACCACTATTAAGACCCCAACCATTAACATGGAATATCGTGTATGAAATGGATGTGCCTTTTGCTGTACCCCCTGACATCGATATATTTTTCAAATCTAAAACAAAAACAAAAAGGAATGTGCTTGAAAGAAAGAACTTCCTTGAAAAGATGGAAGATTTTTTAACAATGTAAGAAAAGCTAGGGAAAAATATTTTATTCTGAGTTTCGAATGATAAAAAATTATTTTTTCTAGCATGGGATTTAATGGATCATCCTGTATAAAGCGATTATTATGCGAATCTGATGATTTTGTAAAAATGGGAGGTAAATCGTTATTAAGAGATTTAATAGGTTTATTATTCAGGTAAGTACGTGTTAAATAATTAGGTCTAGATTAATATTTAGTAAAAAATAGTAATATTTAATATGTCTTTCTTATTTTTAGGTCATTTTCAGACGGTACAGACTTTGAAGAATACGAAAACGCCTGTTTTTCAGATAATTTCACATCTTGCAATCTATCACTCTTAGATATATTTATTAACTCTTCGTATAACGGCGTTGTGAACACTCAGTATGAATAAATATATTAAAACTTATAAAATAATTTTTTTTTAATAATTCTACATGTGTATATTTGGTTGCCTACACAATAAAATATTTTAACTCTTGTTAAAATTTATAAACTACAAGAAAAATTGGTTGGTTTCCTATGTTTTCTAAATAAATAATAACATCACGTATTCTTGCCGTAGTTTATTAATTTATAAATAATAAAACACGAATAACTTTTATATTTATTTATTTCTAATCCTTAAGTTTTGTAATTTTTGGTGGTATAGTCTGTAAAACATCTGTAAATTCACTATAAATTGGTTCAGTTGGATTTTCCCAAAATTTATCAACGTAAGGGATTCTATCAACTATCTCTGTGCTCCAGTGATGTAGTCTACATCTTACATTCACTTTTTCAGTATTATTTATCTATAAATATACAAAAAACAGTATTTATCTTCCAAAATACATAATTTGAAAACTTACTGTGACAATAACATAAAATTCCTTTCCTTCCGAGTCCATATTTGGACCTGTAATAGACTTTTCAGGTAGTGCAATTGCATCCTCGGGCACTACATATCCACATTTCCGAAAAGAAGTTTTTATATGCCACGGTTGTAAAGTCCAGGGATGGTCTTTGTTCATTACCACCGATAAAGTCATTCTAGATAGGGTTTTCAGGGTCTAAAAACGCCACAAAATGTATTTTATAATAAAAAACTGTATTCTGACGACTTACAAGGGCCGCATTAGCTGAACTGTAAGTTTGTTTGTCAGCCAGGGCTTCTATTTGGTCTTTGTACTTCTCTATGTTTTCTGGGCTGGCGTACACAGCTAATCCAGGGACTAATAAATTGTTGTAAGCGAACTGGGAGTTAACCGATATCTTTTCGCCTGCATTTCCATAACCTTCCACGAAGTCTGTGAGAATTACATCTATGTTTGGTTGTTTCTCAGTGGTAGTGTCCTTTACTAGATCGTACACATAATGTCTACTCCTCAGTTTCTTCGGTTGGCCCCCTTTCTTGTGTAATTGCGTTGGAAATCGACGTTTAAGTATGTAGGTGGTCTGAAATTTTGGAGAGCTTGAATGTGGGGTTATAAAACATAATTTTGTTACTTACTCTGACTTGTTGAAGAAAGGGGGTGCCGCATAGAGAAGGGACTTCTTTGCTTGCCGTTTTCAAAAGAAAAGTTGCGTTTTTCCACATTATTACTTGTTTTTACCACTATGATTACCACCACAAATTACCACCGTCAGATATTGCTGTTCTTTTTTAATTTTCTTGTTATCTTTGTCTAACAATTAACCATAGATTACAATTTTAACTCTTGCCTTTTGATTATTTTTTTCAGGAAGCTGGCCAGATGACCTATCTACGTTAAAGCCATTAAAAAATGAAGAAGAAGAAAATATATGTCAATCTGTGGTTGTGCTCTTTTAAAACCTGAAATTTAAAAAAGAAGAAGAATGTACGTGGCGCCATTGTGGAAAAAGTGAGAGAATTTTGAACTAAAATTTTTCCGAGGTTGCCAAGATATTAGCGAAATCTTAAATCTAGATCAATATTTTTCCAAGTCTAAAATAAATTGAACCGTTATAAGATCATGATAAATCTAATACACATATTGATACAAGCTTTTTTTCAATTGAATAAATAATGTATTTCCTTTTAGACTCACTATTATCTATTATTTATGCAGCAAAAAATGACCATTCTGTTTTGCATGCGTGTTCAATTTGACAACGTTGACGGACGCCATTTCCATTTTCCGTTGTAAACGGCAAGGAGTCACGACGCTTTTACATTTTTTCTGATTTTTTGATAGAAAAAGTGCTTTTTCTGTACACTATTTGAGTTTATTCTGTTCCTTAAGGCCTGTTTGATCTCCTGAAAACGTAAGTACCCATTACTTTTCCCTTTTTTTGTAGTTTTTTTCACTTTCAAACATTTCAATTACATCATCGTTAAAAACTTTATATTTTCCTAATTTTCATAAATTTCTTTTTCGAAATCGAGTATATGGAAGTATAGATACATTCCTTGATGTCTCTATTGTATAATAAAATTAAAATTATTTAGATTAATATTGCTTTATATTTAGAAGCATTTGCTATATTTTTTCCTTAGATTTTTTCAAGTTTTCAGATGTTTTTTATTCTGAAAGGTGTTTATTTGTCCAGGCAGATAAGTATTTTCTACGTCTTTTAGAATAAATCAGTGTTTGTATACCCAAAGGTGCCCCCATTCTCCACAATTACGTAATACTTACAGATTAAAAAAATGTTTTTAGTTGTATAATACGCTGTAGTCATATTTTTGTTAACAAATTTGCATTGTATTAATATAATGCTTTAACTGTAATTTTCTTTTTAGGGCTGTTCTTAATAATACACACCCAACATGTAAAGACCACCTACAAGAAGAAACCTTGGTCACTTATATAATGCTGATGTTTTTCAATCATTCTGGTTTACGAGACTGATTTTATATTATCCAGTTAAAAGTAAGTTTATTTTATTCTTGTCCCTTATTTTTAAAGATATATCTAATATTTCTCCAAAAAAATCCTTTATGGGTATTTCGCTACTGCACTGCAAGAAAATCTACAAAATAAAATAGTTATTTTTTATAAACACTTCTGCGTTAAACCTAAACGGACACTGCTTGTCCGAAGTTATGTTTACAGTAATACAAATTTGCCTAACAAAGAAAAAAATGCTTAACGTTTCGGAAAGTTATCTCTTTCCGAATTTTTTATATTTAATATTAGTATGAAACAAAAAAAATAAACACAATTATTAGAGCATTATTAATAAATTGTAATACTATTTATTTCTTTTTTACAGATTTTGTAAAACAAATCGATGGATGTATACAGTTCCAGGGCAGTACATTTATCCTTTTCTTGAATATTACTAGCAATGCATCAGAACTTAGACGTATATCTAAAATTTTATGGTTTTCTTTTGGTAAAAATATTTTTGCTGGTGTTTAATCTTCATCAGTGGATCTCATCATTTTTAAATAAGTAAGAAAAAATTTCCAATGGGTCTCTGAGTTACATTTTTATGGTTCCTTATTATCATAAACAAATTCAGACCATTTATTTAAAATTTGGTCCAATTTTTGGCATTTGGTCACTACTCTTTCTTTTTGGTAGAAAACAAATCTTAGAATTTTACTTCAAGTTGTTTTTGGTTAACTTTCATATTTCTATAACAGCTTGGTTCCCATATGTTGTCCATTATATAGGCATTATAATCAGTTCTATAAAATATTCCATCAACTGTATTTCAATAAATCTTTTATATGTATTATTTTTCTTATGGTATCATTCTTCTAATATTTTTTTGCTTGTGCAATTTCTTGCACAGAATTAAGTTTTTGTGGATTTATTTTCATGTCGTTTTTTTCAGATCGTATGCCATGACTTAATTTTACATATTCTGTTGGTTCGGTTTGCCCGTGTAATTATAATTCAAATACACAATAAAACTTAAAAATCTCGCAATAAGAACTATAAAAATTTCGGATCGATTCCTGGCGCATTCGCCGTTTATTCAAAACCCTGATTTATCCACAAGATATCACTTCTGGCTTTTCTAGATTTTTTTCCGATGAAATTTCCCAGTTAATATCCACTTCATAACATCATAGCTAGCCTCCTTTAAGAGGAGGAGACCCCCTTTCTGCTATTTATTTAAAAAATCTGACTTCTACTTTTCCTAGTATTTTTCCAATGAATTTTCCTGAGTAACTTCGACTCCAGAGCATCATAACTAGCCTCCCCGAAGAGGAGGAGACCCGGGTCACCCCCTAACCGTGATGTTCGGGCATCGATGACCTGTGTAGCATGCAGAGGTACCCAAGGGAGTCACCACCCTCTGGTTTACGAGCTAGGTGTTCTAATGCTAGAGGCTTCGGCCGGATACAACCTGGCACCCAAGCTCCGAGACTTCTTGGTGCACGTATTCCGTGACCCTCGAAGGGGCAGGGGGCGGGATATCGGACACATTGAAGATGATGAGGGGGGTCCGCCTGTAGGGGGTCCCGGTGGATGTCCGCTCGATGGGTGACGAGGGTGACCCGAGACGAGGCTGCTTAGCTGGGATGGGAACTGACTGGTGAGGCTTAATCGTCGGACAAGGGTTAAATCTGATGAAGGGGGGTGAACTTGTATGCTCTGGAGGATTTTTTCTTTATGTGCTTTATGTCAAATTTTGACCAGATATTCTTTAGAGGAGGCTAAGCATAATTTTTGGTCAATTTTCCAGTTTTTATTGGCCACATGATTTTCTCATACTTTTGGCCTACCTCTGTTATACAATTTTTGTCTGTCATATTTTCTTTATTATTGGAATATCATCATTCATAAATGCCAATAAATTCTTCCAATGATTGTCTTATTTTTGTGTCATTTTTCTAAGATTTTTCCAAGACTTATTTCAACATTTCTATTGCCTGTATAGGTTTATCGTTTTTTTATTCGTTTTCATGTCATTCTTTTTCCAATTCATCTCCCATTTTCATGCCATTTTTTCAACGCATCATAATACCTCGATTTCATTATTTATTTCCCATATTTTCTTCAATATGGGAATGACACCATTCATCAATTCTATAAACTCTTCCATTGATTGTTTTTCTCTAAATTTTCTTTATATTTCTATTAATTTTTGTGTCATTCTTCTGAGAATTCTTTTAGTTCATCGCTCATTTTCATGCATTTTTTTCAATTCTACATACCTCCATTACTGTAATTGTTTTCCTATTATATTCATTCTGTGAAATCTACTAAACCTCCAATTAGTTGTATAATTTTTTTTGAGCTGTGTCATTCTGTGCTGAGAGTTTCTTTCTCTGTTGCATTTTATTTCTTTTGTCTATTTAGAATTGTAGTTTTTGAATCATTTTCATGACTTCAATTCATCATTTCTTACAGAGGAACTAAATTTTATTTTTCTTAAATATAATTTATTATTTTTCGTTCATGTTGATTGGATCTCTAAGCCCCTGTTTTATTTGTATTATTGTTTATTTTACTGCTGTTATTCTAAGACTTTCTAGGTCTTTCTATTGGCTATATAGAATTTTATAGCTTTGGATTTATTTTCTGATTGATTTTCCTCTCATACATTTTCTAATTGTTTTTAAAATTGACTTTTTGAATGGGATATTGTACTGCTTTGGAACAAGGATTTTTTTTGGACAGCTGCACTTCAATTCAACCAACCTCTTCAAGATGCCTTTAGCTTGCTGAAATTCAACATTCAACAGTAGAATGAGAAGAAAATTGATCATTGAAGAGGAAGCTAAATAAATTTAGGTAAATTACACTAAAAAGTGTTTATTATTAATAAATAATGTAAAATATTGTTTATTATATGTGTATGAGTCTAAGTTAGTCTCTGACTAAATTTATTTTTATTTTCAGATCATCAGATTTTTGGACATCATTGTATAAGAGCTGTAGCTGGTACTGGTACTTCTATTTTTTCTCCATGGACACATCTTCTGCACACATCTCAAGAAGACTTGCAGAAACGCTGAAAATGTTTTAAAAGTTTTTTTATGATTTTTTTTTGTATTAATAGGTCTTTTTTTGTGGAAATTGTTAAAGAAAAATTTTGAATTGTTTAATTATCGATGATAAGTTATCGATGGCATTTCCCATATAAAAAAAGACAGCGATCTTCATTTCATAGCCATCGCTGACGCCGTTTTTTTTTTTGACCGTATGATCGAAAAAAACGGCGTATATCAATATTATAAATTATAATGAAATACAAAATATCAAAATTAGAGTAGCTAAAACACGACCTTTCTTGACAATATGGTGAAGGAAAAATAATTAAATTTTTAAAAATTTTAAAATAAAAATATTTATTTTTTTATTTAATAAATTTGTTGATATTCTTATGTCAAGACCATATTATATAATACCGTATGATCGAATAAAAAAGCGTCAGCGATGGCTATGAAATGAATATCGCTGTCATTTTATATTATGTAAATTTATATGGGAAATGTCCATCGATCGTCATTTCCCAGTCAACTGGACGCCGTTTTTTTTTAGATCATATACGGTATAATGTAAAATTAAAATGTAATATATACAATTGTGTCTCTCTATAATGATCGAAAAAAACGGCGTCAGCGATGGCTGTGAAATGAAGATCGCTATTGTTTTATATCTAAAATTGTAGCGTCAGCGATGACTGTGAAATGAAGATCGCTGTCATTTTATATGTAAATTTATGGCAAATGTACTCAATCGTCATTTTCCAGCCAACTGGACGCCGTTTTTTGGATCATAATTTGTACTTATTAATATATTTTTTCTTGTAAATAAAGGATTTTTCAGCTTAATTAAATTTCAAATTTGAAAATTGTGGCGCCAAAAGTTGAACAGATACATCCGGTAAGAGCTGTGAACATTGAGTCAAGTTAAAGACTTTTGAGGTTATTTTTTTATATAATTTATCTCATATTTCTTACTATTTAACTATATAGAATTAGTTTCTTATTAAACTAAGGGATATTTATTGAATAAAAACACTTGTTTCTTAATAATTTATTAAGATATTAAAGAAATGCATGATTTTATATTTTATAGTTCATCTAATTTATGTGCGTACTTAATAAAAACCATCCATGTTTATTAAAAAAAGTTAAAATCGAGGCATCCAAGAGCAAAAAATACTCGATCGTGATTGGTCAGTTTCGGTCGCCTGGAGATTTTGAATTTTATTCTCGTTCGATGTTGTCGGATTGTTAAAAAATGCCGAAAATCTTTTTTTCTGTATGATTTTTGTGAAATTATATTAGTTTAAATTGATCACTGGCACTATAGTAAGGGCCATTTCTATATATTTTTAATAAAACAAGTACTAGTAATGTTGTTTTGTAGAAATTTCTTTTATTTCTTCTTGTAGCTACGTACTAACATTATAGTCTTTATTCTTGGTTTCGATATATTTATAGCATTAAAAATATATTTAAACAGCTTCATTTTAGGTTTATTTCATGATTTTTGTGTGTTTATGTTTGTAATTACTTATTTGTTTCTTATTTATGACAATAAATATTTTACCTTACGTAAAAAAACGATATCAGTGGAACGTATTGAGTAAATAATAACTTTTGAGAACAAAATTAAGCTTAATTTAGAAGAATTTTCCTATAAACAATTTTATTAGTAATAAATAAATTAATTTTATGAGCAGCTTAAATTTTACGAATGACTTCAATCTGGCAACGTTGGTCCTCCTTTTGTCGTTTGCAATCGAAGGATCCGCACGGTCCTCCCGTCGGTTGCATCGATTTTTTTAATTTTCTGAGGAAAAAGTGCATTTAGTGTACACAATTTATGCGTAATCTATTACTAGTGCCCTGCTTAGCCTCCTGAAAAAGTGAGTACCCGTAATTTTATGTATTTTTTGAGATATTTTAGTTCAAAATTTTTGGATTTCGCAATATCCATCATGGCAGCCTTCTTCTCAATGTTCGCCATTAAGTTATTAATTTTTAAGAATATTGTTTAAATAATATACGTAGATTAATAAATAAGTATGTAAAACTAAGGGTAAAATAATAGTACTAATAGCACTACATTTTTGGTAAATTACGTAATGTATCTTTGATTTTTTATTTAATTTTTTCGGCCAAGGAATGTTTAAATAAAATGGCCGCCTGTTGGAATTCGATGTCTTGATTTTTTGTAAATTGCTATTTTTAATTTAAATTTCTTTTTATAGGGCATACTTAGAGTTTTCTTTATTTTTTAAAAATATAATATGCGCATTTTAATAATATTTTGAATGAGTAGGTTTTTTGTATTTAAGTTTTGAATGGGTATTAGGAATTTTATTACGTATTTTTTTTATTTAAGATTCCTACATATTTATGTCTCAGCATTTTTGTAATGATTTCTGATATTGGTATTTTAAAATATATTTCTCTTTTAAAGCGCGTTATGTAATATTACATGTTAAAAAATAGTATTAATGTTGACAAACGATTTTTGCTAATTCAGTATTAGTTGTAAATTTGCATTGAAGAAATAAATCAATTGTTACTGAATTTTTATAAAAATTAAAATATTTTGAAAACAAGTATGATTATTTTGAGGTAAATTTTGACCGAATGTTTTTTGTCTTCATAGTAGAAACTAAAAATGTAATAAAATATATAGGATGTCTCATTGTTAAAAAGTATAACTTTAATATTTTTTATTTATTTGAAACACTGTAGGTTTAACTTTTAGCTCTAAATAATATGTTACAACTCTAAAAACTCCTTGTGTATTTTTATTTTTTTATGTG